CGGGTCAGTCAACAGGTTCAAGTACACAAGAGATTCATTGACGGATGGGTGAGTGGTCAAGAACTCCACCAAGGCCGAAGGGCGAAGGCGGGTGCATCGGGACAAGCTCAGGTGGGAGATGCGAGCTGTCTCAGGAATGAGGGTAAGCGCCGACTCGTTGACTTGGGTGTGGGTCAGATCAAGGTGCGTCAAGTTGACCAATCGCGAGAGAAGATGGTCAAACATAGGAGTGGGAATAGTGCTGCACTCATGGAGCGAGAGCCGTTTCAGGTTAGGCAAGGTCATGGGCAGTGCGGGTCCACCGACTAGGGCCTCTTGGAAGACCGCGGAGAAAGATTGAGTGGAGCAACCGCAGAAATCGACAGCGCGCAAATTCGGCAATCCCATAAACAACTTCCGAATGATATCCACGCTAAGATCACCTTCGAGGTGTTCCTGCAGCAAGCATTCCTTCAAGTTGGGCAAGAGGTCCAAGCATTGCAGGAGGGTTCGCGAGGTCAAGTTTTGGATTTCGGCGTTCATCTGATTTGTGCGGCCCAATCCGACGGAAGTAAAGTGTGAAAAGTCCAGGCGGCGCACGAGTGTGCCGAGAGCTGGGTACTGCGATATATGGTTGAGAGCCTTGGAGAAGATGATCGAGTGCGGGAAAGTCATGTTCCTGTACAACACGCCGAGTGTAGCCGCGTGCAGTGTGTGCGATGTAAGAAGGCATGAGACCAAATCGACGTTCCGAGGTGTGTAGCCATTGGGTGGGAGATCCAGTGCCAGATTAGAAATGATTTGATCTAGACAAATTAGTATATAAAAATATATATGGGCCAACCCAACTAACCGAGGACTTCTGGGGGAAGTTTCTCCAGAAGTGAAGTGCCAGGAGGGGTCTGCAGCACTTCTACCTCAGGCTCCTTGGGAGGAGCCAGCTGCTGTGGCTGAAGATCATGATCATGCGATTCCCATGCCCAGCCCTTTGCCTGCAATTGGCCCAATCCGCGGAGGTCACTGTAGCTGCGGCTGAGACTCTTGCCCCCCAGTCGAATTTGCTTCCACCCCAGGAATCCACCACACGGGCAGCAGAAATCCGGGGCCTGTTGCATCTCAAAGCCGGGACGCTCGACCTTGCGCTCGGCCTTGGGCTCTCGGGGAGATGGGGGTTGGTGACTGTCCACGAACGATTGCGCAATTCCTAATCCCAGAGATCACGTCAGTCTTCGGACTTAATTCGCACATCTCTATACGTACCGTCTTCAACGTCCTCTTTGATGGAGCCGAAAGACGTGCGGCGCTGGCTGCTGGACCTGGACCCGTCGGGGGTGCCGCAAGACGAGGGAGAGGAGTCGCGGGAGTGGTAATGGTCACCACAAGGAACAGAAGTGAGGTGTGGGAAGGGGGGCTTGGTGTGCGAAGGGGAAGTAACGGAAGCCATGGTGAGGGAGGGTAAGGCCCTCTATAAAGGGCCCTACAGTGGACTAGTCGGGACCTTGGAGTGGACCACGAAAAAAAAATCTACCGAAATTAAGAAGGAAAAAAGCTTCCCCAGATTCCAGAGAAAAAAGAAGAGAAAAGTGAGCCCGGTCACTAGAAACAGATATTAACACCGTGGATTAACGGGTGTTAGGGCTTGTCGAGGGGCGGGGGAAGAGGAAAAAAAGCGAAGCTGTTAGTCACGGAAAACCCGTGGTCCGCTGTTGCACGGCAGAGCTCCCGATCGGTGTTGGTTTGGCTTGAGAGGCTTCAGATTGGAGGTTTGTAGAAGTTGAAGAGTCAGAGGTAGAAGGCACGGGATCATAGCCACATGGGGCAAACTTTTTCTTGAAGGAACTGAGGTGGCGGATCTGAGTTGTTGATCCTACGTATGTCCGGATGTTATTTTATTTTATTTTATTTTATTCCTGCTCTTCTAGTCTTCATTCTTATTCATCTAGTTGCTTTTAGTTCCCCAAGCTACCCCTGTAGATTGCTTTTTTTAACCTTTAGAGCGGCTTTGTTCCTTTTTTTTTTATATGCATGCGGCAAGCATGGGACTCGCCGGATTCGGACTTGACATCTGAACATAACATTGGAAGATGTCTATCTATCTATCTGTTTACTGGAATGATAATTGCCTATTAATTATCTCTCAGTTCATTGTCAGTACTCGTATAAGTTATTGCTTGTAAAAGTCAAGACAACTCCAATTCTATGACATAATCCGAAACCTTTTAGCGCCTCCAAGGTGTTCTCCAAGGTTCCAAGTGCATCAACCCAAGTTGCTTATTACGGTACTTATTACCAGGTCAGCCGATCACTGCAAATCCGATGCATCCGCCCTCAGTTCCCCAGACATGGGAGTTCTAGTTACCTAACAAAACTCTCGCATCCCTACACTCCCAACGCACCTCCAACGCTATTTGTCGTGATGATGCGGGGAGACACGCGCCATTACATAATGAGAACCCCAACACACGCTGTCACCTGACGAGGTCCGTGTCCCTTGCATGACATAACATACAACGTCGAGGTTCGTTGTTTATTAGACTCGGCATTCCACCTCCTTAGTCTAGTCTACTAGTCTAGGGCTGGACCCTCTATATCATCTACCCAGCCTCTAGGCATCTCCTTCACCGACATTATTCCTCGCTAGTCTCCGACTGATGAGCCAAGCATGACGATCGAGTCGATCGTCCAAGCCAAGCCCCCCATGGCTCCTACATGGCTTAATATGCTCCACCTTGCTTCCCACCACCTCTCCTGTACTTGCTCTCTCCCCTTCATGTTGAACACCGCACCATTACCCAGCATACCTACATTCCTATATCCTGGCACTGGCAAACGAGAATCCAGGTGCTAACTCACATAGCATGTTTGGTGCAACTTGCGCAACAGAATTGGCGAAGGCTTAGTTCTCGCAGAGCACCACCACCTGGAACCAGAGTGACACAGTCCAATTCCCAAGGCTTGACGTCGTTTGAGTCACCAATCCCTCGCAAGCCAGCTATCCATAACTATTGGGGTGAATCCCGCATCGGAGAGTTGGACGGCATGCCGGCCAAGCCTTGGTTGGGAGTCAGATGCAATATTTCCGCGGAAGTGGTGTTGCCAAGGTCTCTGGATTGCGGGCTCGACAGGAGTTGCTTTCTCCTTGCTCTACTTTTGCGTCGCCATTGTTTAGCGCTCCGTTTCACCTTGGCGTCCAGATTTGCCATGCTACCTAACAAGCGCAGCAGATCATTCTATAGTGCAATGGTTTGTTAATGTGGAACTGTGAGTTGGGCATTTTCCTTTCTTGTTCTACATTTTGCGTTGCGAGAACTATGTTCCCGATTTGCTCTTCTATGATGATCATTATCTTAAGCGTTTCCTATTACCTGACAAGCCCATAAGTTACTTGGGAATGTTGAAATTTTGTGAAGATCCTGAAATGAAGAATTGCCGTTGTATGCAATCAACATGGCACGATACCTGCGATATATCTGGTTCTTTGAATACTTGGACCATGCTAACATGTATCAAGAACTGCAGTTTTCACCCTTTGATAATGACTCAATTTCTCGGAGAAAGACGGTAGAAATACCTCCCACAGATGGGCCGTGTCTTTCGATTAGGTACTCGGTCAACATCTCTTTGTTCCCTTCGTGGGCGTCTATGGGCTTGATTGTGACAACCGACGTTTAAATCGGCTGACCCCGTACATATTTCCTGGGTTGACAAAATCTGCGAGGTGGATGAAGCAAAATAAGTTAAATCTAAATGTAGCTTCTCCCTACTATTTCCATGAAAGATGGCATCCTTTAACACAGACTTCAAAATCAAAAGTCCAGTCTTATCGAACGACGATGATACCACAATCCGCAACAATGATTGCCCTGATCAATATGCATTGCAGTCAGTCTAAACCTAGCGATAATAGAAGAGACCACCAGGAGAACCCCCTTCATTTCTGACCTATAGTAAAACCCACCAAAGATCTCCTAGTAGAGGTCGACCATAAGGTCAAACGCCACTCATTTTAGCGCCTTACCCACGAAATGGACCTTCGAAAATGGCGGAAAATGGAGCGGCCCTTTTTGACGCCTTTTCACGCCGAAAAACGCCTAAATTGGGCCCGAAGATATCAGCATTTTACGTCTACGGATTAGGCCCGTGTCTGTTGGTGGGACGAATGTACGGTTGAACGTGGTATCGGACAGCGTTAAGAATGGACCTTAACACGTCCGAAAGACCAGCTTTTTCAGCATCACGAAGAGGGCCATCAAGTACAAATGGTTCCGGCGCGTGGGAAGCAAGTTAAGTAGATGTTTTGGGCTGCTTTTTGTGGTCTACCGCGTCGTTCTGGCCTAATTCCAATATTCGGAGATCCTCTATCTCACCGCGGTGGTGTCTCTTCGCGTACAATTGAAGAGCTTTATCGGCGTGTCCTACCTATGCTGCTTAATAGTAGATCAAAATGCTATTTTTTAGCAAGATAATGCGCCGGTACATACTGTGTATGTCGTACGGGACGCTCTTAATAAGATTGAATGTGAAATCATAGAATGGCCACCATATTCACCTGATTTAAATCCTATTAAGAACCTATAGGCGCTGCTGAAAGCCGAAATATTAAAGCGTCCCCTAAGCTTATATACCTACCAAATAACGGAGATGCGCTAGAATTACTGCTTAATGCTGCGCAAGAAGCATGGGAAACGCTAGACATTGAGATATTTAAGCATCTCTCCGAGACTATGCCACATAGGGTGGCTGATGTTATTAAGTATGAGGGCTGGCATACTAGCTATCAAATTGAGTTGAAATTCCTGAGGTTTCTACCTGGCAGTATTAAAAAGTGGGTCCAGGGGCGAAGTATCGGAGGTCAAATACTTTTGCAACATCACTGTACTCAACCGTGGGCTGATTAAATAATTGGCCCAGCACATCACTACATACTTTGAAGACGAATCTGGGCTATCTTGAAATGCCCTCGAATCTACATTTCATTCTGAGCTGAACGTTTTCCCAGTGTAGTACATGCATCTGGGTCTTCAACTTGAAGTGTGCTCCTGCATTGCAGAACGCCTGTCCTCGGCCATGTTCTTGTCTCCAGAACCCTTGAAAAGGAGAGAGCTGCTCCTATTGGCCTCCTCATCCCTTTGGATTGCAAGGTCATTTGCACTAGGGGGCACTCCATGCTTAGCCACATGGCTCTCAAAATCATAGTACTCTTTCCCTTTCTTAAGAAGCTCCACAAGGGTGATCACTAGAAGCATCACAGCTGTCGTCTGACCAAAGTCCCACTCATTCTCATGACTTGTCTCTCCCTCAAGTTTGCCTTGATTTGCCTGTCGAAGAGCAATCGTCATATAGAGGTGCAAGGGGTAGTGGAGCGATGACAGCACCAGAATAGTACGTCTTCTTTTAACTCCAGCAAAAACGCTCGCAAGGACAACAATTATGAGCCAGGCACTGGTGAACCCCACATAGTACTTGTCCGCGGTGGGGTGTGAGTCTGATGGATCTGTGACAAGTGTCGAATAATAGCAACGGCCAGGTTCCTGATGGGGTGCCCATTCATTGAGACGGATACCAAGAAGAATGGTAAGGGCCAGGTACAAAGCGACGAAAATGTAAACGGCTCGATAGCGATTATTAAACCAGCTGATACGGATATTGTGCTCATGATGAAGCTTCATGTCTGGTTCGTCGATTTTAGCGCGGCAGTATCTCCAGCAAACGAGAGCTGCTGTATTCGATACTCCGACAAAGCTGGCGATGTCGAATACGAGGTGCAAGTGGTATGTGTCCATGATTGTTACCTGCGAGAGGATAGTAGGCGCATCAGCGGAGCTAACAAGATAATAGAGCACAATATAATTATTGTGCCTATATTCAGCGTACCTGTGCAAACGTAGTGACCAAATATGCTATTCCAAGCGTCGACTGGAAATCAGATCCAACCATTAGAATTTTAGAAACGAAGTCCATGCGTTTGCGTTCGACCTCGCGCTCGACAGAGCCTTCTGGGTGCGTGATGTCCATATTGCCGTGTTTCGTTAGAAAGAAAACCCATATCGACAGACATAGGGACAAAAGGGCTTGGCCGGCAAACCCTACAATAATCTACCCCCGCTTAGTACAGATAAAATTCCCCTTGTCAGTGCCTACTCACCCCGTTGCCCACCAGTGTGGCCATTTCCTCTCCCACTAGCTCGCATTCTCCGCCTCCTTCCTCCCTTAACCGCAGATTCATCTTGTTGTGTTGTAATGCACAAGCTTTGATACGTGAGGAAAAGTGTTAGTCGCAAGACGCAGCGGACTTCGCCCAGCCTCTTTATAGCCAAAGGGCCCGGGCCTGTCTAAGATAGCTTATGGCCCTGAGAAATGGGGCCATGAACTCTTGGCATAAACAAGTCTATTTGGGTTACGGAGTGATGGCGGCCCTACCGATCGCTCTACACATGGGGCTGTACACCGTACAAACGCAGATCCTGGCGCAATTAGACTAGAAATACACGCGCTGATTGGTGCTGCATCTGCCTTTCCTAAATAGGATTAGGGTTATATGCTGGGGCACGCTTTCTGTGGCGCAAATTGAGAGACCTGATTCGCAGTTCGGTTTGGCCCCAACGGAGATCGGCGCTACTTTTGCTTGTCTAGTCCTTTGTTTTTGAACTCCTAGCGTCCGATATGGTTATTTGAGTGGGTTGAAGATAATAATAGTACAGTTCTCATCCTCCCTTGGCCGGTCGAAATTAGCGGTTCGCTATGAGCTCTGTCAGCGCCAAAGCATCACCCGTAGTTAGCGGGGCAGGCCAACGAGTCATACATAAGCTCTGTACACAAGTTGACAGCAGGTTCATAACTTGGGCCACGCCAACGCATCGGCAGAGTTCGTTTCCAGTGATTTTGGGAATCTCAGCCTCAAAATACGGAGTACGCCGCACAGTAATATGACGCATATTACTTATTTGGTGTAGACTGCCAGGAGGTGAGTGGTGTGCGACCGTTCCAGGCTCAAACTGGTCTCGAGGTCCCAGCCAGGCAGCGTGTAATTGAATGCTTATCGAGGTTCTCTCCACCATCGACGGTCTCAGCAAGCATTGACGAGTACCCAGCGTTTTTCGAGACCGTGCTCCATGACCCCACGGTCTCTAGTTTCATTATCATTGTCCCGCAGGCAATCTTCATCTTACCTAGTTGACAGGCTCGATCCTGTGAACATTAGACTCCATTTCTTTACATCAGTACTCTTTAAATTATGCCAACCACAAAGCATTGCTTTCCTATAGGTCGTTGTCCATTCTACGTGTAGACTTCCGCAAAGCTCGGAAAGCCCGAAACCCGGCCCGACCTGACCCTCAAATGGGTCGGGCGTTGGGCTTTTGGCTTGGGCCCACGGCTCGAAAAGGGGGTCATTCTGACCCGACCCAATTTCTCATCTAGAACCAACTCACCCTGCTCACCCCCTGTCGCGCGACGTAAAGCGGCACTCACTCTTTTCTCGCTTAGATCCTGACTCCGGCCGTAAACAAACCACACACTACTAACGACGATGTGTGATAATGTTCTATATAGCTCCTTCCTATTGTTATACAAGTACATACGACCACAGGGTATGGAAAACAGGGCTTCCCGTCCGCTCAGCCGCACTTAAGCCGCACACCGGCAAAGGTGTCCCGGGACATTCCCACGCCCAATAGGCACGTAATGCGAAGACTGATGACCTTTCCATTCCTAGATCTCCCGTAAGCCATAGTGATTGCCCTCAAATAATAAGAATCTCGCCGAGTATGTCGAGCAGAAACTTGGTGGTTCCTGGGTTGTGATGGCAGCTGAAGATAGCTGATTAAGCGGTCTTGACTCTAGATGTGTTGTACAACCGGAGCGGGTAGATCACTCGTTCGGTGGAACTTGTCTTGATGATCGACATGCGGACAAGCTGGCCATTGGTTGGCTTCCTGCCCAGAGGGGTGTGCAGGCACTAGGCTCGGTTACTCAATAGAGTAACTGAGATGTCAAGGCTTAGCTTCTGGCCTCGCACGGATGGTCAGCCCCACTGCGTCATTTGATGAGGGTTACTTACCTGGGTAGGCAGAAGCCGTTATTCGGCCTAATCCTATACTTTCAGCAATAGTCCTGTACCTTTCAAGGCCCTGGGGCTACCTTTCGGCAACATAACACTGCTATTGAGACACATTTCAAGGTTACGTAACGAATGAAATATTACATACCTACATAGCTAGATAGATACCCGTGGACAGTATTTGAGTGATGACCTACCTAGATACCCACTAACCCGATTTAAATCTAATAGAAACAGTGTGGTCTGAAAACGAGGTTCGTCGATTAAGCTGAAGGTAGCATTGGACGAGCTGTAATGAAGCACATTTCAAGCAAAACTTAGAAAATTGCGGCCTAAAATTATTAGGAAGATTTGATTTATGTGTCCTTTACTGCTAGGATAGACGATGTGATCCATAAGCCGTATCCAACGTATGAGCTACTTGAAAAGATAAATTTCCTAGTGCTCCGGGAACGATCCTAGGGGGATGAAGATCTTGATTTTAGGTACACATACGTTTCACCGTTTGTTCTTACACTTGCTGGATCATGGCAAACTTTCCATGGAATTCGTGTCGACTGTTGCTAAGTTCTTGATTTCCAGCCTCATTTATTGTCGCTGGTGAATACGCAGCGTCTTCCACGTCTTATCAAATGGCCGCGACACCTATTGGCTCGTCATCTTTCTCAACTAATTCCACATCGTGGAACTGAGAGAGGAGACATGTTTGGAGCATAAATTCAGCCACGTAGCGGGTGGCCTGCGGGTGTTTACATCCGAGAATCCAGGCTCATTCCGGTCTCCACCTTCTCTGTTTTAGAATCACGGAACATATTGAATGTCGATTTGATGTCTCGGAAGAGCTCCCCTGGGTTGAACAATGCGAGCCAAGCATAAACTCCCAAGGGACCACCCTGATATCGCTTAACGCGGGGGCTGCCGTTCTCACTGTCATCGACAGCAAGGTACTGCGGATTGCTAGTACAATTGACATTAAATGTTGTATAGGGCTTGATGGAATAGGCATAGTAGAATAAAAATGCAAACGGAACCACCTGCAGACAGATAATCAGGGTAGGTAAGCCAATAATGGTGTCTGCATAGCTCAGGGTAGCAGAAGCCTTAAGGGTGCCAGTAGAGTCAAGAACCATAAATATAATCTGTTATTTGTTAGGGTTTCGTTACTCTTTAGATTTAAAAGTTGTGAATCTTTCTGACCTGCTCTAAGAATTCAAGACCGACAACCATCTTAAATGCCAAGAGCTTCATCATTGGCTTTTGTCCTTCCATATAAGGTTTAAGGTTGCTGTGGAACCTCATGATATTTATCATTGCCATAGCAAGTGATATAATCGAAATGATTGTGATCTGTCTAGAGTGTTAGATACATTGTCAACAACTTGAATAAACTGAATATACTTACCCATAAGTGAGCAAAATAAACTTTGTTCCCTTGAAGGCAGAAAGTTCCCTGTGCTTGCGTGATGCTTTGGGCTATTGCAAGGATAAACGTAACAATAGGATACTGCAGAACGAAAAGCCACGTAGACTGCGTGTATACAAAATCAGTTGAATATCTTGCTATTATATCAATTTCAGATAACTTACCTTCAACCATGACAGCCCATCTGTTGCTTTGGATTTGCCATATATCTTTGGAATTTTCAAAGATACGAAGAACTCAGCTCTGTGTTGGTCATTTGGCACAACAAAATCGCAGAGCAACATGAGAAACCAATACAGGGCAACCCCTTGGAAAAATTTTGTCCATCCAACCAGATAGACATATGCGTTGGGAAAGCATACTGAAAGCAACGAATAGATCGTATATAATGGGAATAATGTAGCAATTCTCATGATCCTTGAATTGACTTCTGTCAGTATCTCCAATGATTTTGTCACTTCAGGATAAGGCTTATTGCACTTACTTAACTTGTTGATTTGGGTTACTTAGGTGCATTGCATGCCGAGCCATAATCATGAGGATCACCAAACAAGTGATACCCGTGCAAGCGCCAGAGAGTATCATATTAAAGTGGTGAAAGGTTAAGTCACCGACAAAGGTTCTAGATGCATCTAGTTGGGACAAATTAGTTTATTGAGTTCGAAAGACCATTGAAGTTGGATTGCGCACCAGGGGTCATATGTGACGGCATCGGGCAAGCTGTACTGGCTTTCCCGCCATCGCGACGGTGAAAGAACTCGGCCGTCCCCATTTTGAGTCTCAAGACTCTAGACAATTGTGCTTTTGGTAAGAATTCTGTGAAGGTGGAGCCTCAGTAGAAGTATGACTTAGTCCTGAATAAGAACTATTGAAAGGTGGGTCGGTTGTAAAATGATTTGAAGACAACAGAGAGATAGACGTTGTTTTATATACCCATGAAGAACGGCAGACTGAGATTGAGTAATCCCATTGAGTCTAAGCCTCGCTGTTAATTTTAGGATATGATGTACTTCGAATACTCCATAAACGAAGGTCAACCGCAGCTGGACGTCATCAGCCCTAGATAAGGAAGAAGGGCGATCTAAGGTCGACAATACGGCCGCAAATGGCTCTTTCTGATTGGTTAAACATCGCAGTTACTTAGAGGGGACTAGTGCAAGCGGGAGCACGGCCGGCTGAGCTAAACACGCTTCACCAATCACATCCCTGACACTTTCAGCCCTAAGTGGTTGTGATCAACCAGATAGCATCTGGTATACTCTTCTCGGCAAGCAAGTGCAGATCAATCTACTAGGTACATACAGTCAGTGGCTTCTCTCGCACTGCTACGTAACCAGAGCCTGTTCGATGGGGCCGCTTCGGGGGCCGCGATCATGTTCATTCCAATAATCCTCGAACAAGTCAAGGTCGCAGACGGTGATATCCACAAAATGGTGCTCCAGGTCGATGTTGGTGGCTGAGATATCCATAACAGAGGTTTTGTTGATGTTAGCGGTGAGCCCAAATGTCGACTGTGTCCAATAGGCATCCTTAACCATTTCGAGCAGTCTGAAGTCATACTTCGACAAAGGTTCATCGTCAGCTCCCCTAATTATGCTGATGTGGATAGTTTAATGATGTTTTGGTTGAGATATACAGATAAGTTACTAGTCAAATGTTCCTTCCCACTCCGCCCCACTATATTGGCCTAACAACCAACTCACGTTTTTCTTTTCACTCCTATACCTCCCCTATTGCTCCGACTGTAATGAAAATATGACCAAAAAATAGCAAAACGGCGCAGCTATCTATGTCCTAAAAGTCAGCTATTATACATGCTCACGAGAATGGCGCTACGTAAGTGTAGTTAGCTCATGACTTCGGCTGCTCACGGCGTACAATCTATAATACGCTTAAGCGCTATTTAGAAGGCGAAAAGCTAGAAAATCGCGAAAAAAGTGGCCGTCTCACACTTATTAGTGAGCGCGATTGCTCTTATTTCTATTTATAGGCACGTTAGCATCCGTTTTGGACCTATAAACAGCTAAGTGCTACTATAGCTAAGCATCCGTTACCCTCCACTATACGCCGAATTTTAAAGCGATTTAGACTCGTAAAACGGCGATCGAGATATAAAATACTAACTAAGCCTCCTCTTACAAGAAAGAGGCTAAAATTTGCGGGAAAATGGCGACGCGAAAGCTTCCAATCGTGGATCTTCTCGGACGAGTGCTCGGTGTAACGAACCTCGAAGTTTAGACCATAATAGTGCTTTCGTACGACCTCGGAGGGCCTTCGCAAAGACCTTGTAAATGCTAAGGCTCGTGTAAAAGATATTTCACAAATGGTTTAGGCCGTAATCTGGCTAGGAGGTCGAACAGAATTAATAATCATGAAACGGGACAAAGAATCGCTTTCGGGGAGGGGTTATACTATGAAGTCGTATATTTCAACGCTCGAAAAAGGTCTAATGCCAATCTACACCCCTGATTTAGTATTTCAGCAAGATAACGCGAGGATTTACCTAGCGAAGGACACGAAAGAGTGATTTGAAACTCACGGAGTATACGTCGAAGACTAGCCCGCGCACTCACCAGATTTAAACCCAATTGAACCGGTATGGCGCTGGTTAAAAGTGATATATATATTTTGAGAGGGGACCCGAAAAGTGGAGTGGGAAGGAACATTTGGAAGGGATGTAAGTTGATGGACACCGTGAACCCAAAGATACTAGTTGAAACCTCCTTAGAGGCCCTCTCGTGCTGCCTGCGCACCTTTGAAAGCGTGTGCTGACGCTGAGCAGCCATGGGCGGATTGATCCAACAGATGGTGAAGGCTTTGAACACCCGTTTCTCAGCCTAAAGATTGGCTGATCTCCGAACTGGTACCAGATAACACCCAGCTGTCTCCTGATATTTTACTCTCTTCGCTCTGTATAGAAAGCACATCCCTGAATTCTCTCAATCCATCGTCCTCGCCTGCTGCTCGCCGTAGCTCATCTAGCGTAACTATGTTTTCGACTAGCTGTAACGCCATTGCAATACCCGCGTGTTTGCCAATCTCCTGCATATGCCGAATGACCCACTGGCGAGTTTTACTTTTAGCCACCACGGACTGTCCCACTGTGTAGAGACACCAGGTTAGGAGATAGCTCCCAGAAACACTGGCAGGAGAGGTGAAATCAACAGACGAATGATGCTGAGCCGCCGAGGAAACGTATCCCAAGGCTTGCGGGACGGTAGCAAGCATATCGCTTTCTAGCTTTGACTGAATCTCCAAAGTCTTTTCGACTCTTAGCTTGATGTGTGCCCGCAAGGCAGGTGTGAGGTCCATGGCAAGAGCTTTGGTCAACAAGTAGTATATAATGTTGCAAACAATCATTTGAAGCATTCGTGTGTTGTTCCAGACCCTGATTGCCCAAGTGGAGTGGTAGAGATCATATCGGCCATTGAAAATAATGTCCGGGTCACCGCCACCTTCTAGAATGGTTGTATAAGGCTCTTGTACGGCAAGGTTACCAAATACTTGTTCAAAATCGTTCTGGAGCACAGTGGCCTCATCTAAAAGATGGGACCAAGGAATTTGCGCTGTATTCTGCCTCACCTTCCACAGAAGGTTCACATGCCGGGTTGCTAGCACGCCTAGAATCCAGAAGGCACTAGAAGCAGCTGTGTGCTTTGTTGCCTCTTCCTGTAATTCAAGTAGCTCCTCTGGAAATGGCCGATTCCCATGGACACAGGCAACCGTCATATCTGCACGCACTTGATTAAACATAAGGATTGCGGCTGTGCTGGTGAACTGGCTCTTGCCCCGGGCGACCAGTAGCGCTGCGGCTCCCTGAACATGGCGAGCCCACGACGCAAAGTTGGAGACGTTCTCAAAAACCCCCAATGATATGACCGACATCAAGATACTATCCTTGAGGGATTCGACAGGGGATTGTAATGCAAGATTCACTCGTTGGATTGCCTCTGAGTATTTAACACGTGCATGGCTGACTAGCTTGGGCTGTCGAGCTGCATTGGCTAGCGTCACGAGGCCAACAGCAGCCATACTAGCCACCAGTGTGGAGTGTTGGCCATCGGATTTCGAGATAGTCGAAATATAATTCAAGTATCCGCAAGAAGAGGACCCCTTGGCGACAAAATTGTCGAAGAAATAATTGACGCCTATCTCGTCAATGTTGGGAATGAGGCTGCAAGCTGGTGGGGGTGTGGCGGCGGTCTTGGCTGACGACTTCTTTTGTGCTTCGATCTCCTTGGACCGCTTGACGGTATGGCTAGTCTGGTCGCGGAAAAGAAGATCCCATTCATCTCGGTACCCGGCGCATACTTCGCGGGTGCGAATGCACTGTCCACAATGGGGAACCTGCTTGTCGCACTACGGATACAAGACTGGATTAGCATAGATGTCACGAACATGCGCGGATGAACGACTGTAGAGCACTCACCCGACGCCGAACAGCCCGACAGTTAGCGCAACTTCTAGACACTCTTGGACGTGATTCATTGGAGGATGACATGATGGTCAAGATAGCGGTCACGGGCTCTTGTTCTCTGAGTCGTAGGACTATTGCTGTAAAAGCTAGTCGGCGAAAGTATAATAAAAACAAGCTCAATCAATATCAAGGCTCTTGCGCAGCACGACGCTCATGCCTCCCCTTGGCAGCCTGTAGCTGAAAGCCCCGAAATTTGGCCCCCACACGTGGCGCGCTATGTCGTGGCCCCTTATCGTTGGATGCTAGTGGGATCAGTTCCGCACGTTTGGAGCTCAAAGAGGGGACATTGATGAATCTTCCGGCTGAGTCGATACGAGAAATGGACTTTTTGGACTCTTCCGTCAAAGAGCCTGGCAAAAGCCTCTCGACACCAGCGCAAGTGGGAGCCTTGTCAAAAGAAATTCACGTGAACCCTCAGCCACAGCCTGTTGTCTTTAAACAGTCTGAAGCCTTCGTCAAGTTTGGCCCTTATGTCACGATCGCAGAAGCACAATGTCTCTGGATAATCAGACGAACCTTTGGTGACGATATTCTAGTTCCCGAGATTTTCGGGTGGAGAGTCGACGAGGAGAACTACGTGTTTCTATATATAGAGCTTATCAAAGGTCAAACGCTGTAGGATAGCTAGAATAAGCTTAGTATTCCGGAAAAAAAGCTCGCTCTGCGATCAGTTATATTAGATAGTCAACCGTCTGCGCCGACTTAAACAAGATCCTTCCGATCAACATATTGGTGCGCCCCAGTTAAAATGGAACTAATATAAACTTGTATCTAATAAAATTACTCTAGGCTCACTAAATCATCAGTAACTTATGGATTATATTTTCCAATCATACCCGGAATCCGGGACCTTTCCTAACCATCGAGGATTTCAACGACTGATTCTCTTTCTTACCACAGTCATCGCTTTTTCCTTCGGAAAAAATACAACGACCCCTACAGGCCCTTGTTGCCAGACGGTGGAGTCATCAAGTTTACTCATGGCGACCTTCACCGAAGGAATATCATTATCTCTGTGGGCAAGCCAGCTCGAATCCTTGCTATTGTGGACTAGGCACAAGCGGGGTGGTATCCAGACAACTAGGAGCATTGTAAAGCACTCTACACCCGCTGTTATGAAGACGAACGGCGACGGGACTGGGTCGACAACTTTCTAAGCCCACGTTTGCGAGAATTTCTGGTTTTCGGAGAGTACACAATGGTGATGGGCTCGGTTTCAAAACCTCAATGGTTCTAGGAGCACACCGGCTAGGACCCTAAAGTCATAGGACTAAAGATTGGTATGCTATGATTATAGGCTATGGTTTTACGCAACATGCAGCTTTAGCTCCTCCAGGACCGCTAACGATCAACCGGCTTCTGTACGTGTTGGGGCTTTGAACACTCATAGGGCAACATACGTCATTCTAGAATGGCCCCCGGGGGAGCCCCGGGGCCAGGTCCACATATTACTTACGCCATTGAACCAGCACTTGAGCCTCGGAAACTTGAATTTACTATGGAGTAGGTAAATATATTTGTCTCGAGCGGGCAAAGAGGAACTGATCCCGAAGGCCTGGGTCAATTGTTTATTCCCCTCCCTGTAGATATTGGCAGACAGACCTGTAGATTCTTAGCAGCTGCTCTGGGCAGTCGGCCCAATTTTCCAATCGAGTTGGGCAGTCTTTTCCGGTGGGAAGGGTATTTTGCCAGTGGTTGAGCGAGATGGTGTCTCGACTTGCAATTGGCGGTAGAGAAGGTCATGACAGTGGTGTAAGAGCTCTGTGAAAGAGGTGTCTTGGTTGCGCTCTTCTGCTTGTCGTCTCCCTTCTGCTTCCAGATTTAACGACGCGGAATCCCTGCCATTGTTCTCGAAGTACTAATTTATGTGTCACGTATCAAATATCATGCTCTTTTCCCCAGAGGCTAAAGTGGTCTGGGATCAGTGCTTAAAGCTCATAGGGCTAGGCATCCTTGCACGCCCCCGTCAAAGCGGCCCGTTTACGCTGATTTACGCATGATAGGCGTCGGATGCCTAGACTTTCTGTTTGCGCAAATCATATTTGAAACTTCCTTTGTTATAAATATGTCTTCAATTTGACGTACGAGTGATAAAATGGGTCTTTCCTCAAGTTGAAGCCGAGGGTAGCACCTAGAGAATTGGGCGATTTTATGCCGATGAGGAAATCTTTATGGTGATCTGTATTTGAATGGGATGATGCAATGCGCGACATAGCTCGGGTCACCATCCGCCAGTCCTTGGCAGAGTGTCAGATCCGCTATAGATTCGATCCCAAAAAGAGCGCCGTGTTCTAGTGCAAGGCTAAGGAGTACCTCGCTATAAACGAAACAAGGCGTCCCGCGACCTTGTTTCTGGGAGACATGTATATCACAAACAACATGGGTTCTAGATCTAGATTCAGATCTAGATACAGATCTAGGCAACACTTCTTCCATAGTACTTCCCTTTAACAGCCTCCTTTCCTGGAAATGGAAATATCCTTTGTAGATCCGCATTTACCTGAGTTCAAACAAGGCGTGGCGTGGCGTGGCGTGTCAGGTTCCCGGTTTCTAGGGTTTCCGCGTGGAATACGGGATGTTGGCCACTTACATGGATAGATGCATTTCTTTTATTTTATTATTTCCCCTTTGTCTTGACTTTTACATAGGAGAATTACAATTAAGAGACAAATGTTTAGGTCTGTCTTTTGGCTTTCTCCATATTTTAAGGTTTAGGGTTCTAGAAGGGTTTTCTTTTTGCCTTGTCTTACGTTCATGGCTTTTCTGAGACATTCTACTAGATGGTATGTGTTTGGACACCGGGTGGAGATACACACTTATAGTGAAATTGTGAAATGGTGTACTATGTGTCTAGGTGAAATCATAGACATGCCAATACAAGCAAGTCAGTCTGTAGGATAGAGTTCACCGATAAGAACGCTTAAGACATCATGATGTCGTCAACGACTAAAGAACGAATCCCACGTGCGAAGTATGAAGAAAAATTACGGTAAAAAAGCCACACATCATAGAATGAAAAAAAAAAAAAAAAAAATTGCCATATGGTATTGGAGCAGTTTTGGGAATACAACTGCATGCGGAAAAAAATGCATGTCAAAAAAGGTCAAATAACAAAAAAGCGCGAAATCTTGTTCGCGTCATGGCACATGAGATGGGAATAGAGTCCAGTCTAAAAAATGGAGGAAAGAAAATCAGAAGTTCGAAACCACCGACCGGGTCACTTTTGCAGATCAAAAAGTAGAAATGGAAAAGTAGATTCGGTCTTCTCTCAGGTCGTTTGGTCTGGTTCAAATGAAACAGACTCCACGACGTGACAAAGGATATCAGAAGTCCTAAATCCCAGAACCCCAGAATTTCAACCAAAAGGAAATAGCCAAAGGGGGACCATGCATGAGAGGGACGGTGGGGGAAGAAAAGAAATCTATGAAATGACATGACATCAAAAAGGGAAAACGCCAGAGAAGAATAAGGAATCCTTCGGCCCTAGCATAGAGCAGCACATTGTTTTTGTGTTTCGTTTCAGCGTGAAAAGATATCCCAAAGAGTTTGTCTTTGACTTGTTTACTCGATGGCGGAGGTGGCCTCACCGTGCAGGACGGGGTTGACCTTGGGGTTCCACTTCAGCTGGAAGTCGGCGCCGAGCTCCTTGGCAATGGCGGCCTTGACAGCCTCGAGGACGTTGTCGAAGACACCGAAGTTGGCAGGGCTGTCGGGGGCGTTCTCGCCGGGGCCGCCCTGGAAGACACCGGTGCGGACAAGGCAAGTGTTCCAGCCGTACATGTTACCACCGATGATATCGGAGGCGGGGTTGTCACCGACCATGTAGATGTTCTCGGGGAGGCGGGCCTCGCCGTGGAGCTCCTCCATCCAGGACTTCATGACCTCGTCGGCGTAGGTGTAGGTAGCACGCTCGGGCTTACCGTAGACGACACGCTCAAGGTCGACACCGGTGAGGGTCTTGTACTGGGCTTCCACGGAAATACGGAAGGCACCCTGGGTGAGACGGGGAAGACCCTTGTGCTCGGTGGGCATGAGGAGATCACCCTGGGAGAAGTAGATGGGAATGCGGGTGGCGACGGGGTCCTTGGCCTTGGTCATGAGCTTGCCGTCCTCGGCGAGGAGGAGATCCATGATGACCTGGAAGTCGGTCTGGTAGTCACGAGAGTCGGCGAAGACCATGATGGCGTCGAACTTGACCTTGGAGAAGTCGCGGGGCTTGGCCTGAGCGCGCTCCTCGTCGGTGAGGGTGGCCCAAGGAGAGATGGAGGGGTCCCAGGCGAGGAGGTCCTTGGGGTGAACGACGTGCTTGAAGCCGTAGTTCTCGGCAACCTCGCGGATCTTGAAGCCTTCACCACCAAGGACCAGAACAGTCTCGTAGTACTCAGCCAAGGCCTGCATGGGAGTGTGGGACTGGATGAACTGGTCGGTGGAGATGGGCTGCTCGAGGATCTCGCTGAGCTGAGCACAGCGAGCCTCCTCGGTCTTACCACCACCGTTGGTCAGGAGAATGTGGGGGATGCGGATGCCGAGCTCGTTGTCACCGTTGAGAATCTTGAGAGCAACCTTGGCCTCCTCAATGGCGTGGTTACCGTGTGCCAGCACACCGTCAATGTCAAAGGCGAAAGCCATGTTCTTAGCCTTGGCGACCTTCTCAGCGGACATATCCTGGACCTGAGAGGCCAGGATATCCCGGGAGACGGAAGGACGGCTAGTCTTCTGCACGGAGGACAGGCGAGATAGACGAGGAGAGCGAGGAATGGGGAGAGATGTGCCGAAGGAGTTACGCGAGCCGCGGCGGTCCTTCATCGAGGGAGCCAAGCTCAGGTTGTGCATGAAAGAGGCGGCATCACTGATGGAGCTGCGGGTAGCGGGGATCTCAATGGTGTTGCCAGCTTCCGAGGGAATAGCCAAGCCAGAGCCAGCACGCTGGTCCCGGGGAGAGAGAGCGCCGTGGGCATCGCTCTGGCGGGGATCCTGGGGAGCATCGACTCCAAGGTCGGCGTCGTCGAAGCGAGGCATGGTGAAGGTGGGGTAATTGGAATAAAAAAAGTAGAAGGGGGAGAGAGTGGCTTCTACTTAAGAGTCACTGACACAGGACTCAATGGAAGAATTGAAGGATGAGGATGAAACTGAATAAAAAAAAAAAAAAAAGGTCAGGAGAGGGCTTCAGCATATATATACACCTGAACAGGAGAATACCGAGATTGGTATGCCATTTACAGAGGATCCACTCGGGTATCATCATCCCTAGGAATTATCGTCATCATTTTGCAAGATAGCAGTTGCGGTAGGGTGGACCATGGTGCAAGACGGATGTACTGAGTACCTGCGTCATTGTGGCTGACACGGTGTCTAACTAAGTACCCAATACACGGGATAAGAAGTAAAGCAACCGGTTGATTGGGCATCGCGGACCGAAGAAGGAATAGTGAGGTCTGAGGATGATTGGATGAGAGCGCAGTTCGTGGGCCGGAGATGGGAAGAGATGGGAGGATGACGATCGGGCGGGTCGACCGTTTCGGTGATGTCATCGTGTAAATTACCGTGTGGTCAGGTATGGTATGGTGTATTAGTATTTGTGTATTGGCCCTCGTTGCAGCCATTGAATGCTAACAGCGA